ATATATATTCGCAATTTAAATACTACATATGTAATATGTAAGGTCCAGGAATATATCGCGAGAAAACCAAAATGCCTGATATTCGAAAATCTATGGCATGTGTCAGGCACAGAATACTGATCATCTGCCGGTCTTTAAAAACAAACTATTTAATAAATGGGGGTTGTAGCGTCACTTTACAGACTATAGTCTGTGATAATATATAAAGTGGTTAGCTAAGCGAGTACTACACAAATTTCAAGTTACGTACCAAAATAAACATTAATGTTTAACTTTATATGGATCGATCAAAATGAATAAAACCGGCGTCTATGATATTGTAAAAAGGTGTATTTCTTTACCGCGGTATTCCTCTATCTTGTTTTACTCTACATTTGGATTGTTTGATGTAACAGGAGAAAAACGGGCAGGCTCATCTGATGTTAAGTGATATTGCCGCCCACGGGCACTTACATTGCCAGAAGGCTGGCAACTGCGTTGCCGATGTTTTAAAATTTGGTACGCTCTTTTCTTAAAGGACCCTAAGTAGAATTGTTTCGGAAATACTTCAGTGGACGGCTTGTTCCACATAGTGGTTATGCGCGGCTAAAACTGCCTTGAGAAACGCTCAGTTCTGGAACCACGGACGTCGAGGTGACATCTGAATCCGGAGGTCCGTATGGATGGTATTTTGTATTTTGCCTTTATATCCGATGATGAAACCGCGTGTGAGGGAGTTTCTGTTGGCTCCCCACCTTCATATTTATTGGGGTAGGGGGATGGGCTCTTGGAGTCTGTCTTACCGAAAAACATCACTTCACATTATTTTTTTGAGAGACAGTATTACTCCCCCGGTCGTGACTGCCCATTTGGAGCCCACAGCATGGCACTCCCACTAGATAGGGGTTGACTGATTGCGCTGGTGAGTGGGCGATGGGGTCGTCACGTCCCGACACCGTGAGATTGAATATAATATATCATATTATACAGACTTCCTCAAGTTCCTAGTATGCAAGCAGTGTTTTATATTAGCGAACAAAATTCTGAGAATTTGAAACATCAGTGAATTAAACTCAAGCTATTTACTGTAGATAACAAATCCTAGTTAAAGAGCTACGTAGCTTATACTCGTAAACGTTTATCTACGATGTAGTCTGAAACAGATGTGTTTAACACAACTGTTTTATTTATTTTTTTATATGCGAGTTAGAAATTCATTTTCATATCCCCTGAGCATTTTATTTTCCTCTTCTAGGTCTCATGGGATTCATTGCACGTAGCCCTCTTACTGAGCATGTTCCTTCTGGGATAGAATATTATAAATAAAAGTTAATTATTATAATTATGCGTAAATATAATTACTTATGAATACATGTGGACCATAGAGTAATGGTTGCAGCTTGCACACTGAGTAAAATAAAAAACTTGGCGATGAAAAAGGGTGGCGGAGAATTTATTGCCAGTTCTTCTCTTCCATTCTTGTTCAAACGTTGATTTGGGAACTGGCAGGAAATGTAAAATTAGAAGCATTCATATGCATTCCGTTTTTGACGTTCATAAGACGTACATTGTGTTACCTATATGAATAAACAATTGTGACTTTTGACTTTTGTATGAATGGCGCCAAATACACAAATGGAGCGCGACCACAGATTAGTAAAAATTATAACCAATTATAATTAAACCAATAATAGAAACTCCTTTGTTATACAAACTTCCTGCAATTAATTGTTACTCTTCATTTTAATAAACACAACTTTAATTAAATTTTGTTTGAGCTAATGAGTAAGAGCAAGAGTCTCTGAGCTACCCGAGGTCAAGCTGTACCAGAGGTTTTATCTGGAGTGAATGAAAACCCACAGATACCAATTAGAAACGTCAAATGCTATAATGATAGCTGCCATGTTTATTTATGATTACAATAGTAACGGCACCACAATACCGACTTTAACTTTTCGAAATTAAGAATTTGGGTAGTAGTAGTAGGACTCCTTTCTCCGCAATTAGACTCGTAATTGGTCCGTTGTGCGTACAAGAAGAATTTGGGTAATTTGGATAAGTAATGGATGTTGTTTGTCCGCTATGGACTCCTAAACTACCGAACCGATATATAATCCGCATCAAGGATTGTTTTATTATTATTTTTTTGTTTTTTTATATTTTTTTCACAAGTATTGCAAAATAAAACTTATATGAAATGTATTCTATGTTTTGTTTCTCATTTCTCAACCATGTAATTACAATGTACCACAGCAAAGCGTGGCTGGGTACAGCTAGTGCCTTATAATTGTAAAAGTCGACTTCTAAGTCCAACTTCACACACGTTGTTTTAAAAGTATGCATGAATGAGATGTAGAATTAAAATTAAAATAATCCATTTTAAGAAAATGCAACACCCCCTAAGTAGAAGAAAAATAAATGACGTCATTAAATTCAAATTCTAAAAAATATCTGTTTTGGTTCTATATCTAATTGTTATTAAATACTTCTACTATCGTCTATTTTTATTCCTGAAAAAGGTCAAGATATTCTTTGCCTTTTATATATATGGCACATCGTTGGTATTTTTAATTGCATGCTTTTCAAAAGAACTTGAAGAACTATCGATCTCAGTACGCACGCTTTAAAAGTGAAGTGCATGTAAATTAAGGCCACAACCTCGCTATTTTATTGCTCGGTTCGAGTGCACTTAAGACATTTATCATTTACGTCACTGTATATGGTAAAGGAGAGAACCAATGTAACAGAAATAGAAAATGACCGATAAATGAAGTTTTTTTTACAAATAGAAGATAGTGCGATAGACTATAAGTATCAAAATAAATTACTTTGAACTTTATAACATTGCCAATGACTTCATGACAAAAAAATTATGTTATATGGTCCCATTGATGCGAGCACATGCGCACAATGTGAGCTATTTAATAATAATTGATTTGTTACACAATCATCATCATCAATAGCTATGCTTGTGGCCCTTAGCCTCCTCAATTATATTTCGTCATCGCAATATTTTTGGTGCTTCTTGTGTCCAACATCTAACCCCTATTGTTCGAGGTCGACAACGCGAGGTTGACAACGCCATCCCACCAACGCAGCCTCGCTCTACCGGGTTTAGTTCTGTCATCCACCATTCGGTGCACAATTCCCCACCACTTGAGCCTGTTGCATTTTATGAATTGGACGAAGTTGGCGTCGTCAAGGAAATAAAGTTCTCTATTGTAACGAATACATTTGTTACACAATACTTAATATTACTTACATTAAAATCATAAATATATACCAATTTAATGTATATCCAATTAAAAAAAATATTTTTTTTTCGCAAAAATTTATATTGATTCGTCTTTAAGCGTTTAAGGTATAAGTTTTAACAACCAGGACAATTGCAAAACGGGACAGTTTTATAATCTTCCTAATTCCGTGAATTTTAACTTTTTCAATAATAATCATTAGTCAGTAGTGTATACGTATCACAATTTAAATTTTTAACCTTTTTTTAATAACAATAATAAGATATTTTTAAATAAATTGCACAATCGAAAATATCTATAATCTAGCTTGATTAAAAATGGCGATTAAAATGACAATTGACTTCGCACAGATTGAATCTAAAATTAAATATCAATATATAGTTTAATTACATGAAAGTTTTTAAGTTTTATGGATTTCCGAAAGTACAGTAGCTATACATATAGATTCTTGCAACTACTTTGGTAGACTATGTACCTAAGGAATTATATTATCTAATGGTGGAAACAATACAAATATCAAAGATTTTGAGTTTATCGGACATGCAATATTAAGAATGTAAAACGAAAGATGAAATGGTAGTATATCGTTAATTGTGGCTGGGCAACTGAAGCTCTAGACAATTACAGACACGCGACACACAATCAAAACAAACATACATTATTGCAAAATACTTAAGTCCTTAAATAAAGGTACAAAATACACCTTTTTTTAGATGCTATCTTACAAAAAACGTTAGCTTAGTAAGATATCTCTTTAAAAAAAAATAGCCTATGGTGAATTAAAAGAGGTGAACAGACTAAAGAGATATACTTAACAGAATCTTATCAAGCGTAACCTGTGTAAATCTGAGCGAGTAGAATTCTTCTGTGAAACAGGTATTTAATAATTAAATTAAATATCCGCAATATGTCTATATAATATTCTAATAATATTATTGCACTAGAACTCCCGAGGCATGCACAAGTTAGCGGTGACCCAGATGTGTAATAGTTGCACCTACATCTTCGTTAGTTCAATTACTCTGATGGAACAATCATCACTCTGTTCACATTTTGCACACTTTAATGCTTACGAAAGTCTATGTTTTAATGACATTTTTATAAAACATTTTTGAAAAGTATTAACCGCGGAAATGGTTATAACTTAACTTATTTATATATTTTAACTAAAATTGTGATTCAACTGTAAAACAAAATTAATTTTTGAGGGAATACTTTGTTAATATTAATCGTTGAAAATACGTATTTAATAATCTTATAGAAATGTTTTACCAAACCATCAAATTTTGTTCCTCTAACAGATTAAACAGTGTACTTTGGATAATAATTATCGAAGTAAGATAACCATAGCAACTAGAAAAATTCACCTTGACAACCAACAAACATCTAAAACATTTTAACAAGAGGAATTAATATTAATAGCAATAAAGTGACAAGTCTATTGTTGTGATATGTCTTTGTCGAATTGGAATCATTTCTTAACAGTACTGGTGATTTCAAACTGAAGCGCGAAGTAGTATTTTAAAAATCACAATTCGCGCGTTCTAATAAGTTTCGTGCGATGGAAAAGATTTTGTTATGTATTTTGATAATTTCCTTTAATATTATTTAGTGTCGCACAAAAATGCAATTATGAAGCATATTATTAAAATAGTTATAAACTATTAAAAGGCGTAGTAGAGTGTTGCTTAAGGTCGAAAAATTAAGAGCCAGCGCCATCTAATCGTGATAATTTACAATTTTAAACTTGTTTAAGGTAACCTGAAAATGGCGGAGATCAGCAAACACATGTTCGAGAGTACGTGCCGGGACCTTCACTGCAGTGAGATTTTACATCCATGGGACAGAAGCTGCTGGTCATCATCAATACAGACATACAAAGATTCGTTTATTGGTAGCGCTCGGTTTTACGCTGTTATACACTTGGTATGTACCGTTTTTCCAACAAGAACAAATTATATGGTACCCCCTTCCACATTCAAAAAGTAGCGGATATAAGAACAATATTAGCACGATAACCTTCAGGTCTTGGCTTCAGATTTTTGTATGTGTTTCGCCATAAAAAAAAATCTAATAAGTGATCTGCTTTCTGTGCCTGCCACACGCCGTCGACTTTTTGGCTCTAAATTATGCAACTTTTCTTCATTTTAATTATTAAATGTGCACATAGAAAGGAAAATCCCTTGGTGCAAACCTGGGTTTTGAACATACGATCTTTGTGATAAGAGGCGCACTCTCAAGCATCTTGACCAACACTGCTTCTACTGGCCAGATGTTATTATAATTTTTCTCGTAAATAGCCATTCTCAATAGTAATGTTTTTTAGTATTATGACTCATTATACTTAATTAATCAATGTAAAGAAAAATGTGTTGAGAATGTTTTTTGATTAAACTCCTATCATTGTTCTATGTAACAAACAGATTTTTTCGAAATATAGAACTTATAAATATCGAGTAATCAGCCAGAGCTTTAACCGTGAAGCTTTTACTTCTGTTTTAATGTTTTTAAAAATAAAAAAATAAATATTTCTATTCCAGGTTCAAAATGCTATACGCGGAAAAAAGGTTCTGGAAAAGAATGAGCTGATAAAGGCTGGAGAGTATTATATTAGGTCAACTATTTTAGGGGCTCTCATCAGTGGAACATGTGTATCACTTAGCTGCTTTCTTAGGTAAGTTATATTATATGTTAAGCTAACTAATAAATGGGGCTCGCGATCAAGTTCGTACTTATGTATGTTTTCTTATTTTTCTTTAACATCGTTTTATACTGTTGCTTAATGGAAAGACCCAGAAATTTAAGTACAAAATTTAAAACCTAATTTTCTTTTTAGTATATAATATGCAAATATGATGATTTTTTCTATAAATTTATTAAAATAGTTTATCTTTTTGTTCTAATCGTACCTACCTATGAATAAATATAGGAATTATTTTGAACGTAGAAACTTCGTTTCTTTATGTATTTCCCAAGTGAGGTTTCAGTATTAGGTTAAACACACACCCATTTTATCCTGTGATACATTTTCCTATTTCAAAAAGAAACCGTGCGATGAAAATATTTTTCAAATAAAACATAAGAGGAAATTGATAACAAAAACACAACTAAAAATATAACATAATATCATCATAAAAAACAATAGTAACTATTAATAAAGATCAAAATATATGGCGGTCGTCATTTGCAAAGGTTCGCTTTAACACTTTGTAAATGGGATTAAAATATTAAATACCGTTTTAGTATAGTAGCGGTATCGCCCTATGCGATTTTCCTATTTAATCTCCGGATAAGTAGGTCCTAAATAATATACCAGAATCCCTAAGAAGTATTGTTTTCTGATTTGTTAGCCTCATCTTGTCAATTGCGTAATAATACTACAGATGTTTGGAGAAATTTTAGTGGATTTATGGTACAAGAGTTACAGTAAACCCCGTTTTTATGAATACTAATCGTTTTACTAAGAAAACCGGCGAAGCCAGTGAGTTCTTTAACCGAATTCAAAAAACCCAAGTAGTAGATTTACAATACTACGAGGTTCTGTTTCGACGATTTGCTTTTGCTTTAAAATTTGGATAGATTGATTTCAGGATATGTATAAAGTGTAAATGTGAACGTTCATACGGAAATGCATTGGGTGTCATAATTCAGTTAAGAACTTCAGATCAGGATTAGATACAGTGATTTAAAGATTCTATAAAGTGCAGTTTCTAAGGCGTTCACTACTAACATAGCACCTAAGAATCTATTGTTACTGACTTATTAATAATAAATAAATAACTAGGTAATAATACATTTTATATAAGTACGATTTATAGGCCCCAAATGCCCCATTAAAATACCACCTATATACATATTTGTGTCATCGAATTTTTTCCAAATCTAAAATATATTTACCAGAGAATTACTTCTGAGGTAAGAGAACTAAGTTTTTGAGCATTGGTTATGTCTTTGAAACGATTTTGAATAAGGGACGTACACACTCTAACAGATTATGCCTAAGTATAGTTCAGTTTTCCTGGGCCACTCAAAAACCAAAAAGAAATTTTAATAGTTCTACTGTCTGTCGTTTTACCGAAATAATTCCACTGTGCTGCGATGACTTTATACCCTGAAACGCGCTAACTAAGTTAATCCAGCTGCTAAGGATATGTACTACTTCTGGACCTTAGCCACTGGGGTTTTCTTCGCACTTCGCTCACTCCAGTGAGCTACCGTCCTGCCTCTCAGGCGAATGACTGATTAATAAAAAAAAAATTACCACTGGGGTCTTTGGCCCTGTTATTCAGTGGTTGTACTGGTCAAAGATCCTTCCTTAGGTTGGAAGAACAATACACCTTCCTTCTTCCACACTTCGAGTGTAATAAAGATATCATAATACAAATTTGTTTTTCAGATTTCTAATAGGAAGAAAGATAAACTACTACACATATCTGATGATTCCTAACATGATAAACGGGGTATTTATTCTTCTAGAACCTCCATCAAGAAGAGGATTAATTATCAATTTATTTAGTAATTTAGTAAGTTAATTTTGCAATTTTGACTCACATATATTAAACTTAGACTTAATTAAAAGTAGTTTCTAAAATATCCTATTACTATTATAAACGCGAAATTTTGTAAGTATGGATGGATGGTTGTTACTCTTTCATGTAAAAACTACTGAATGGATTTTATTGAAACTTTACAATAATAAAGCTTATACATCAGAATAACACATAGGCTACAATTTATAAAGATATTATGTAAATTGGCCGATGATATCAAGTAAGTAGGAAAACATGCGAGCTAATCTGGAGTGCGCTGCCGAAACCGCTAGAGTTACACATATATTATAATGTATTGTGGAAATGTTTATTTTAAATATTCCTACAAAAAAAACCCGCCACAGTATATATCTATATCTTACTCGTATGTGTAAGCCATTATAGCCAAAATAGTGAACCATAACTGCAATAAAATGTATAATTTATTTTAAATGCACATTTGGTAGTAATAAATTGATGCCTAAACGAAAATAGATACTTTTATCGCTTCTGGTATTTAAAGTAGATAAAATTAAAATATGTCTTTCAAGCTACATCATTTGGACAAATTTTATTTTAATACTGCACAGACGAAGTCGTGGGCACCAGCTAGTTATAGATAAATATATAGTAAGATATTCAATATATAATTTTCAGGTTATAGAGTACTGGCTACGAAGCCTTCAGCGTTCTGGATACATATCACTCGGTACATCTAAACAAATGCTTCTCTTCTCCTTGGGTAGTGCTCTCCTCTTCTATCTCATGCGTTTGGAAGGAGAAAAGAAGAATCGAACACCGTTACTTTGGTAAGTTATATAAGCCAATAAACAATTGTATAGGGCTGTGTTCATTCTATAATATCGGCCACAATGTGTTCTCGGTCTGTTGAAAATAATGAAATATTCTTCGTATATAATTTGGTTTCGACCGGAGCTTGACTGTTACGGGTAGCATGAATTTTTGTTTTTCATTTAATAATATTTAGCAGACCAGCCTTGCGATTCTGTAACTCACTTTTCGAACTCTCACTGCGGTTTCGCTGATAAGGAGGGAGCTTGTAGTTTATTGTTTATCAGAATGCCAAATCGTAAAATGACTGCTTCACGACTGATTTTAGCGCGACCGCTGCTGCGAAAACCGCAGTGAGAGTTCGAAAAGTGAGTTACAAAATCGCAAGGCAGGACCGGGAACGACTCGTAAACGGCATTATAGGGTGGACCCAGACTAAAGACTAATATTAGGCACAGAAAGAAAATTTTTTTCTTTCTGTGCCTAAATTAGTAGTTCTGTGTTCTAAAATAAAATAGATGTTGAATTACCGGGAACACAGGACCTCAACATACTAGTCATATCGGCAGAGAATTATGAATATAATATTTTGACTGCTGTCCTTTTTAGGTTATTTACACCTGAAAAAGTAAGAAGAAAAACAGATGATACAAATAATGTTTGTCCACACGACGGTCCGTGTTTGCAATATATATTTAAGGTGAGTTTTGTTAGAGATTTACCTACCTAAAATATATTCGAATACAATACGAAAATTTATATGCGTTTGTTTCACGGCTATTCACCAACGCCTATGGCATGTCTAAAATTTAAAAATTAATAGCATACAAGGTCAGCCTTGGTTCAGACCAATACAGAAATTTTGAACTTCTATAATTATTTATTTACAGCCAAAAACATAATAAACCTTCTATCTAATCGCAGTTGAAATATTATCTCAAACTTTGATATTAAAATGTAATGCAATACATTCTTAATGCATGTTTTCAGGGATCAGCGAAATACTTCTCAGCCGGACTAGCGTTTACCTTTGCAAAAACAATTCTGCCGAAACTTCGGACGCCATTGAAAGCTCTGTCGAGCATTCGGGGCAGGCACTTTAGCATGGCCTTATTCTTCGGCAGCTATATCGGTATTTATAGAGTACGAAATATTTTGACTAGTAAAATAAAACTATGGGAGAGTTAAATGGGCTACTAACATAATACCTGGAGCTGACTACTTTGGCTAAAATTTAACTTGTAATTTATATATTTAACCTTACCATGCAGAGACTGCCTCTATGGATTCGTGGATAACAAACATAAAACCCCGTGATTCTAGTGTTGATTCCCGGCCAAACAATCATTTTGGGATGAGACAGAGACCGGTCTCTCAAATTCTTAGAATATTCTTTAAAAAAACGGAAATTAAATTTAATATTTAAATCGATACTTTATTTATGTCATCGACTTGACTATAAATAAGAAAATGGCATTTTATATGAAAGTCCTCGACTATAATTTAACTTTGGTATTATTTTCTGTTGGAACACATGTGGCTTCATAATAAACTGTCTCTTCAGACCCCATAAATATAATTCACGCGATGGCAGCCTCTAAAATATATATGAAAAGCTGTTATATAAGTAAAATTACAGAATAAGGTTACTATATATACTAGAAATCTGTAGACAAAATATTTTTCATTCTTCCACTATAGAAAATTTTAGGAAGCAACATCACGCATAGACAGGCTACTCAATGAATCAATATTTGTTTCGAGTCTGAAATATAATGAAATATAAAGTAATTATTATCGTTTGTTTAATGTTAAATTTCAGTTTTCTTTTATTTATTTTTTTATTCGTATATTAATGTACTTACTTATCTTTTCTATTTTGTCTAAACGTTTTGTTTTATAATATATAGAATTTATATTAAAATCATTTTTGTCAGTATAATTTCTTGTCAGATAACAATTAAGTTAAAAAAACTTTGCAACAAACAACAACAACAAAAGTAAGCCATTTGACGCTTACACTATATTACTTTTCACCTGATGTCCGTAAACTTAAAATTTGGCTCCATCCAAAAAAAAAAAAATATAATTAATTAATTTTATAACTGTTAGAAATTATTTTATTATAATCTTTAATTGTAAATCTTCTATTACAGGCTGTAATCTGCTTCTTATGCCGTAAGCGAGGTTATGATTCAGCATTGTACGCGTTACCTGCCGGTTACGCAGCCGGCCTTTCGTTCCTCTTTAAACCAAACCTTGGTTTTGCAATTGCAGCTCTGACAGGCGCTTTTAAGGTAATAAAGTAAAAGTCACTGTAAGATGTATTAAATATGGATATTTAATTATATAAACGCGAGTCGTTAACAGAGGTATGCCGGAGGATGGTTTATTAACATATATGACGAGATATATATCATCACTCCATGGACAGCGTCATTAGCGGGCTTAGTGGGCGTTATGTGGGTAAAGTGCTCAAAAGACACGAATAATTATTATCATACAGGAGTTAATTAAGATTTATTCCTTTTAACATTACAAATAACACTTTTAGCTTAAATTATAACGAGTAGCGGGTTCAAGGCACCCATCTCACTTCTAATCACAATTTAATCAACCACAAATTACATAGACCCGAATCGGTCCAACGTCTCATCACCACATTGTTTCACTGAATACTCAATCAGTACTACCCTGCGTTCACTGAGCGCACTGTCCAAAGTCAAGATGGCGCCTGGCGTGGTCAACGTTCAAAGCATTTGCTCGGCTCTGATTGGTCGTAACAAAATTCGTATTTTTATTCGTTAAGCATTGATTCTAAATTATGAAATAACAAAACAAACCTAATCAAAATAAGTTATGATTCTTAAAAGTAATAGAAGGAATCTCAATTATTAACCAAAGCAATAAAAATCAACGGTAAATTGACTCGATCAGAACATTTCCTGATAATCGGAGCATTCCCTTACATATTTATTATATATATAATCCATAATAAAACCGTAAATATATAAGCTTTTTCACGTGAACAATACTCACATAGGTAATGATTCAGGCAAATAATCTTGGCAAAATACCCGAAGTTAACACGGGTGAAGTTAGAAGCTAGTTTTTAAATAGTATAAGTAGAAAGTAAAATGCTTTCTAAGATTTTATATTTTTTACAGATATACTCAACGACGTTATATGAAAAGAAAATTCTACCGGAAAAGTTACAGTTGCCCCTCATCATGTACTGTATTTGTCAAGGAATACTTTTTCATACGCGTTTCATGCACCCGGATGTGTGTCCGTCCTACGTGTTTAATCTAATGAAGAGTGTTACTAACGGACGGTATGTAGTAACGTTTTTTGGCGGTAGATCATCGCATACTAGTAGTTCTTCTAAGCTTTAAAGTATTATTTGTTTGTACGCGTTAATTTTAGGAACTGCTCATGGCGCCTCTATAAATCTAATATATAAAATTCTCGTGTCACAATGTTCGTTCCCATACTCCTCCGAACCGACCGATTCTCATTAAAATTTGTATGCATATTCAGTAAGTCTGAGAATCGGCTACTCTCTATCTTTCAAACCCCTTAAGGGTGGTGGTCACCCCAAAATTTTTATTTTTTAAGAAAAAAAATTGTTTTTACTTTTTTTATGATACAGCATACAAAAATACAACCTCTAAATTTCACCCCTCTACGATCAACCCCTATTTTTTATTATTGTAGATAGTTATTTTTATTGAACTAAAAAAATGTTTCCTAGAAATAATATAGGTAGGTACGTGGCAAAACAAACGTTTGCCGGGTCAGCTAGTTAACTATATAAAAAACTATTATTCATGTTTCTAAAATCAGTGTTTAACTTATTTATTATAATATAATAATTGATACAAATGTATCCTCAAGTCGTATGCTAATTATACAAATTTTTAAGTGATTTAGGAAAAACAGGCTTTTTCCAAAATCACTTAAAAACTATAGACTCTAATTTTTTTTTCAGATCTGATAAAATTTACAAACGACTACTAGAAATATTGAAAATAGCTTCGGTGTGAGAATTAAGATATAGTTTTGGTTTTAATGGAATAAAAATTTACGCCTTGGCGTATGGAAAATGAAGCATTTGTAGTTAAGTAAGTTTATGGTACCTGGTAAGATAATGGTTTTTGTGCCCATGTATCGTACATTAAAGTTGACTGTGATAATGTTATTAGTTTTCTCATTTTCACAATAATCTCGAGTCTTTTATAAAATGTTTTTGCGTAATTGTGGTAAAATTCTGGAAGCTGGGCTGCCATTTTAATAATGGTAGACATACATTTCTGTTAATTCATTTTAATTTATGCAAAGCATTTGGCTGAATGTTTGGGTCAAAACCGGGGAAATTTTAATTATTATTAGTTATAGGATCAACGGCATATTAATACTTAATACTACTTAAAATTGTTACCAGTTAATCGGTTACGCTAAGATTTTACGGACAAATATTGTAGTCAGACTGTTCATACTTCGTTAAGGCGCGAAACATACAGAAAAGGCGTAAGGTGAAGGCGCGGCGCAGGCGCAGAGCCGGCGTGAAACAGATAAGGCACGGATGCGACTTAAATTATATCAAAGAGGCGAAGAGACGGCACAAAGAGTCATTAACGCAGGCTGACTTTATCGTGATAGCATGTCTTCCTCTTCAGATGACGAAGATGCGCTCGCTTTGCTGCAACTCATTAATGTGCAGACACCGAAGATATTGGTGACGTGCCTGTGCCACGCCGCTTGAGTATAATTAACAACGTGCCTACGTACATTTTGTATTGACGCGTTTTGAAGCGGCAAGATGCCTGCGCCTCGCCTTCACCTTACGCCTTTTCTGTGTGTTTCGCGCCTAACACAATACTAGATGTATTAATAGTCAATTTACGTTAAAGTCATAAATATTTTTTATCCATATTATGTATTACATTTTCTCATCCGCTGTAGACCATTTGATTTGAAAACTAACAGCATATGTAAATGAAGACTAATTTTAAAAAATTGACGTTTTCCTACATTAATAAAGGTTTATTCATTTCTACTCATTTAATTTTACATGTCCATACAACATAAACAAATAATAAGATTAACTACGAAATTTAATAGAGTTAAAATAAGAATCGACAATTAGATCCAAGAAAGAACAGTAGTGTTTTTTTTATTTTTTGTTATGGATGACCCCAAAATACTGCGTGTTATTCACAACATTAGAAGAACGTAATATATTAGAAGAAAAAATAACTATAACACGATAATAGGCTTTCAAGGATTACAGAAATAGAAGCAAAGATGGTAAGACTTATTTTTATCTCATGTAATATACATTTCGAAGCTCCCTTTTGAAAATGATTTTCATAAAGTTCTTTATTGAGTTTTATTAGTCGTTATATTCAAGAGTTTAGTAGTACTTTGCTGAGACTTCCCTCGCTTTGATGTAGCTCCTATAGGGTTTATGATTAGGATTTTCTTAACTCGATCTTTCTTCTTCGTCTGGGTTTTCAAAACACCCGTTTGATAAGTGCATATCGATTCACACTGAAAAATGTTTCATATACAGTAATATGCGACCATAATTCCAATTTCCCATATTAAATAAAATATATAAAAAAAGCAATGGTGCCTTTTATAGGCCTCGCCCTCAGATTTCTGTATCTATTTCGTGATCATTTGTTTTTTTAATAGGAGAGGTGATCAGCTTTCTATACCTGAAACGCCGTCAACTTTTTGGTTCTAAGGCATACCGGTTTCCTCACGATATTTTCTTTCACCCTACAAACGACTATTAAATGCACACATATACAGAATCCATTGGTACACAGCTGAGATCGAGCTGTGTACCAATGGATTCTACGACCTGAGAGATGTGACTCTTACGCTGAGGCCAACACTGCTCTTAAAATACAATATACAGATTAATAATTTTAAAAGTTTCGCTTAATATCAGTTATATGCAAGTCTGCCATAAAACCTAATTAGCCCTATTTGTAATTATTTTTATTATTGCAAAAGCTAACAAACAATATTAGACTTAGATGAAATACTAATTTATATCTTTTAATTAAAAATCGTAAGTGTATCTTTATAAAGCCTTACACCTATGTTGCAGTTAGGTTTTTGTTTCAAATAGGCACAATTTTTTATAGTTGCTTAGTTACTTATATACTAGGAAAATAAAATAATTTTTAACATATGAACATGCATGTGAATATTCATGTGTTGTAAATGATTGCTGCAATGTAGTTGTTGGTCATGGAAAGTGGGCAGGGCTATACAATGTACGAGAACGAGTAACTATTGAAAAATATTATTATTGAACTGTTTCTAACCCACCTGTTCCTTATTATAGAAGTTATTTCTATTTCCACCGCAGCCCGAATATATTCGCTCTTTACAAACCTTCCAAATGGGATCATAATACCACCGCGTGAGGGATCCGAAACAAAATCCATAGTCAAACGTGAGGCTGCACCATCTCGGGCGTTGTCCTGGAAAATTTATAAAAACGTAATATTATGAACCAGTTTTATTTAGTCATCACTGCAGTGAAATTTATTTAAATCGATTTTGTTTGAAGAAAAGTATGTTTACATCGGAATATAGACCTGAGTGTTCAATACTTAAACACAAATCTTTAAATAGAGTGAGGAATGCAACTAAGATTATATTGTTTCAAGATATCTTAAATTAAGCTTAATAATGTTATGATTTGTAAAATCAGGTCCAATTATAATCAATCCAATATAAGTTTTAATACGCACGTCTACCGTCGGGAGCCCTCAAACAATTTTGAATGCAATCGTATCTAGAATCGAATCTATTTCCGTTGCCTTGACAACCACCCCAAAAAAATTTCGAGCAGTCTTTGGTTTTTGGATCAAAGTAGTACATAATGATTTCACCGCGACACGGCCCTTTGTCTGGGTTTAAAAGACATGTTTTGTCGATCACTGAAAATATACAAATTTATGAAACTTGGGTTCAGCCAATCGAGTAAGGTTGACTGAACCTAATGAGTTATTGGAGTCGACTTCATCTTCATTTCCTTACTTTAAAAAACAGGGCATCTGTTTATCATTTACACGTATTTATTAGTAAAGATAACTTGTACTAGTGGTTTTCTTACTATTTACTCGTAAATATATATTTTCTCATTATTTATTTTATTCTTGCTGTGCACAAAATATCGTCACTGTAAATCTTGTGTTATCTGACAGGGTTTCTGGACGCCGGGCCCAGCCACATTAAGTTGAGTAAGGGGCTTTCTAGTCGTACGTATGTCCCAGAACAGATACAGAGGCCGTGGGGTAGACATATACTTACTTTTTTTTATAGAACGGGGCTAACGGGCGGGTGGCTCACCTGATGTTGTGATACACCGCCGCCCATTCACTATCTCAATGCCAAAGTAAAAACAAAAACGCGTCTTCTGTTATTATTTGTTCAAATTAGATTTTAAGATAATACTTTAAAATGATGTTTGCCTCTAGTAGTGGAGGAGATACATATACGTGATTCTACTTTATGAGATAACGTCATTTTCTGAAAGAGGTGATAAAAAGATTTTTTTAAAGTCCAAGACCCAAGGACACCTGGGGAGTGGCACTTTTAAACTCATGATACTTACTTTGAATCCTCGCTCCCTTCTGTATTCAAAATACACTACTTTGTCAAAAACGTTTTTATTTATTTGTTATGTTACCTTACCTTCTGATACGTAAGGCGTCACACGTGTAACCGGTTCTTTGTACGTATGATACCTTTGTTTAAGCGCCAAAATATTTTGAATGAAAAGCGTTATAAAAACTAGCAACATTTTTTAACATTTCGTGCAATTGAGTTTATTGTTCGAGAAAATTCAAATACAATTTTATGATTGTAACTATATTGCTTTTTATTATTATAAATCAAATATTCATTCCTTGTATTAAAATAGTTGTGACATTTTTGCAAATATAGGAAAATACATATAGCTATATATTTAAAAATTAATCACAAATTATGTTGCTAAGCTCTAAATTTTCGAATTCGAATATCAATGTGAAATTTTCGAAGGCTGGAAAAAATCTATACGTAGTATTTGATAATAATATGATAACCTCCACGTATTTAATATAATATATATGTTACCTTGGAGGTGCCATATTTTTTGATACATTAATTTTTGTGACCTATTTTAATAGAGAATTAATACAAGTAAGAAACATTTAATGAAACGTCTTCATAACTAAAACTTAATTATTAATTTAAACTTAATCTCTGATAAAAAAAATAACTGTACTATAGACGGGAGTTCGTTTTCACTTTAAGAAAGGATTGGTGAAAACTTAATAATGGCATTCAAGTATCTAAGCAACATTAAAGAACACACATCATATGTTATTACACAAAGCAATTCGCTCGCGAGTTCTTGAGCAAATCTCATAATTTAGTCATGTGAATGTAAATTAAGAGAACCCGTGTAAAACCTAACTTTCTGCAAAGTTTTCTTTAAACAATGCGCGAGAATTAACTTTGTGCTCATAAATTAAGGTAGACGTGAAATAAGTGGTGTGCCCATATCTGATGTGGGTTTTGTTATATAAGACTGTTTACATAATATACCTACTAGTATCTACATTACTATCTACGAACAAGAAGTAGTTTTTCTTATGTTCTAGATCATAACCGTGGGTCTTGGGCTGGCACTCTGTAACTTCTAATCGTGATAGCGATATAACTTGCTTGTAGTGGCGTCCATGAGTTGGTAAATGAGTAAAAATATGTTTGGAACATCGACGCGACCAAAATGCACTTTTGTAAAAAATATTGTATATCATACATGTATCGGTGTATATATGGCTACGTATTTATTAATTTTTACCTTCGTTCACCTTGATACTACGTGTACAGTTATATAAGTGCAGCCTTCTATTTGACCGTGGCTTGCTGATAGAGGTGAAATGTTTGGTTTTCTTATTATTTTTAATTTAATTACAATATACATGATATAACGGTTGCTTACAAACTTTAAAAAAGGACATTGGTGATTGTAAAGGGACGGCTAGTGACGGAGACTTTATTGTCAGTTCTGCTACGTTTTATGTCCTTGATTTGACATTAACTCGACCTACATTAATAAAATATTGAAGTTTTGCAACCAATTTCGATATAATTTTTTTTCAATATTCACAGATAAACATGATATCTCAGATATAGTACTAATACCCAATATTGGAGTCAGGATATCGCTGTCACATTAAGAGTGCCGCTGGCCGAAACTACAAATTATCAAAACAAAATAATAACAAAAACTTCAGTGAAAGTAACCTGCGTGCATTTTTTCAATGCTGCAATCATTTCTGTACTTAATAGATGAATGGACAACATCAAAAATAAATAGCAACACAGATAGAAATTTAGTCTAAAATAAGCTAAATAATATCTGTTAATTCTAAAAGGTTTTCCTCGGATTACCTCAGATTTCTGAATTAACGATAAGTTTTTTACATGATAATGGTCACTCTTCTGACACACGCCATTGATTTCAGGTCAAGTCCAACGTACGCCCAGCAAGCATTAATTGTGTAGAATTGCCCAATTGAAAGTAAAATCTATTGGTGTACAATTGTTAGACGAACCAATAACCTATGGGCTTTTTTTGAGGTTAGGGTCACTGCTCTTTGGAATTTCATCACAACTACAAAATAGATAACATCGTATACTATCTTAAATGTATGTTTTCATTAAAAAATGTCTAAGAGTGTAAATTTCTTTAGCTTTACAGCTGAGGTTACCTAAAACTCCATTACCATATGTATTCGGCATGAAATTCAGAACAGCGTGGTTACATTTGCATTGTTAATGTGTTGGCTGAACTTACATACGACGTAAGGGCAGTTTAGTACCTGCATAATGTGTTTAATAATTGGCTTTGTGTAAGAACAACTTTGTTTATTTCATAGCGACGGGAATGATTTCATGTTCACTCAAAAATAATTGACTCTTCGTATCTGTTTCATACAACATTGGTGTGTACCTACGTATTACTATAATATTTATATATCTAATGAATATGAATTTCCGGAAACGCATTTGGCATCTTTTTCTTTGTGTATTGGAATGCATGTGTGTATGTAATGTGCTTTGGAATGCTATATAATAATATTGTTGTAAAAAACTCTCTTTAGCTATAAAAAACTGAAACACTTAGTATGCGAAAAAAATACAAAAACATAATAACTTAAAAATTAACGAATGAATTTTGACTTTGTTTTCATTGCTAAGCAGTGTGATTCATAATTTAGTACACTTTCAAATTCTACGTAAATTGACTGAAATATGAGCCGTCAAAGTGGCTGCATTTAACGGCTTATATGTACATATATCTATGTATAACCGTAAAATTATTACATATTATTTGTTCGTATATAAAAATGACTCCTTTAATTTTTCGTCTTTAAGGTGACATATGTATTTTATATTTATTTGAGAAGTTCGTTAGCTATTATAACCAAAAGTTGTATGGGTAGCCCAATTTTTTTTGGTAATAATATAAAATACTTATAACCCTTAATTTTCACCCTACTAAACCAACCCCCATTTTTAACAGTGATTAGTACTTTAATAATCTCTATATGTCAAAGCAACGTTTGCCGAGTCAGCTCGTACTATATACTTGTTACAGCCACCGCGCGATTTTAAGTTCGTTGTTAATAAACTTCTTGTGAAAGATAAATTTCCTTTGAAAAAAATCAGTGGCGCTACAACCTTTTTAGGTCTGGGCCTCAGATTTCTGTTTGTTTCATGATCAATTGTCAATCTAATGATGACAAGGTGATCAACTGCCTGACACCTGACTGTGCCTGACACACGCCGACCTTTTGGGTCTAAGGTAAGCCGGTTTCCTCGCGATGTTTTCATTAATCGAGATTTTCCAAAGTCTATTGCTGCACAGCCGGGGATCACACCTACGACCTCAGGGATGTGACTCGCACACTAAAGCCGCCAGGCCAACGCTCCTCATTCCCTAAACCACCTTCTATTTCATGTCAGAATAAGCTTTAACATTCAAACACCAAAATAACAATCCTCGACTCAAGATGTTTCAATAAAACGTAAAGAAATCCTAAAATAACCCATACAATAGGAAACCAAATCCGTATTTCTCGGAGCGAAACAATTCAGATGCCAATAAGGAAATCCAGGTGTCAAGCTGTATTTTGCAAACACCTGGAAAAATTTCCCGACGTCTTTTCTAGATAAATCTCTTTATTTTAACATAGAAATAAAATCCGAGGTAAATTCAACCAAGCTTTGACTATGCCGCGTTTTTATCAAAGAAAAAGTAGTGAGGTAATTCTATAATTTAAAAAAAGAATAAAATATGCACTTTGATCAAATTCTATCCTCGATATTTAATTATTTGATTGCGTAAGGTTATTTATAAAGGGCAAACGCGCGCAATATTGCATTACTCGCAAAGGCAAAGCAAGCCAACTAAAATATGGCATACGTTGTAGCTGAAAATGTGCAAAGTAAATTTCATATTCAAAGCGATCGAAACCTTTAAAAGCGCAATGACCCACTCCAGGGCGAGTATAAAATTCTTAGCTGAACTTGTGGCATGCCGCGCCGGAAGTCGCGGCGACAAACTATGCAACTACGGAAGGAGCGCTTTTGCGTAGTGTAGGTTGTGGATAGAGACTCATTACAAATACAATAATTTATTTGATTATAAACTGTTGAACACGAATTCCCAGATTCTAACCGTCCATTGTGATTCCATAGTCGACCGAACAGTTTATACTTTTGGAAGAAGCTAATTCTGTAAAATACATTAATTATTATATGCCTTGGTCTAAACCAGCCAAGCTTGCCAGAATGTCATGACCAACCGGTCAAGAGGTAAACAAATGAAATCTCTTCAGCAGTAATCAAAGCGCTTCCCCGTGGTGTCGATACTGTGAAAAGCTCGCCCCCCCCCCCTCCATTTTTGTGATTTCTTGTGAAAAAACTAATCATTAAAATTTTAAATTGCATTGTAAAACCCCGTTACGCGGGGAATTTAGTTCAATGACTGACTGATCATTTGTGCGCTGCGGTAAAACTTAAGTTAATGCTTGATCGTTGATCTATGTCCAAACAAACTGCCAACAGTCAGTCAATTTTGACTGCAATAGCCCTGCTTTTCCTGGATGTCTTTTAATACTTCAAATTACGTTAATTGTTAGAACTTCGTATACAATTGTAATGTTTCAAAACGCTTTTTTAATATTCCATCTGACAGCGTATTTATTGAAAAACATGTTTTAAGTGTCCATTAAAGTCATTGAGCATATTGAAAGATATACCTCTGTAGTGAGCTTACCCAGGCGTCCTACAGGGAGCCAACTCATGGACTATGTTTGTTCATTAGAGGTTTAATTTGATTTTTCTAGCGCGCTCCTAATTGCATTGCTTTTATAATTCTCGGCTCATTTATGCGGAGACGCTGGGCACAATTAGTTTGTTCTATTTATTTTATGGTCCCTCTAAGAGTTCTATACCTACTGAAAAATAAGTAGTACTCTATAATTTATTTTTCAAAAGGCTACTACTACTGGCGACATAGTGCTAATTTGAGATAAATTATGTTAAGCTTTTTTTATATTAAGTTTTAAGGAAGAATAATTTTTATAGTTATGTAACACTCAAAAAGTGTAAGTATGTATAGAACAAAAGTTTAATATAGTAGAAATATTTTTGGGTCTCAAAGCCCCTCAAAATTGTTCATAAGAGACAGATACTTAAAGCCGTTTGCAACAGATTTCAGCATAGATTCAATAGAAAACAAAA